TCTAAGGCAGGTGTGATTCCTGCTCTCCTGTTATATAATACAGGTCAGTTTACCTGTACCAAGCGGGTCTCCTCTGTGACAGGTGTGATCCCTGCTCTCCTGTTATATAATACAGGTCAATTTACCTGTACCGAGCGGGTCTCCTCTAAGGCAGGTGTGATCCCTGCTCTCCTGTTATATAATACAGGTCAATTTACCTGTACCAAGCGGGTCTCCTCTATGGCAGGTGTGATCCCTGCTCTCCTGTTATATAATACAGGTCAATTTACCTGTACCGAGCGGGTCTCCTCTAAGGCAGGTGTGATCCCTGCTCTCCTGTTATATAATACAGGTCAATTTACCTGTACCAAGCAGGTCTCCTCTCTGGCAGGTGTGATCCCTGCTCTCCTGTTATATAATACAGGTCAATTTACCTGTACCAAGCGGGTCTCCTCTATGGCAGGTGTGATCCCTGCTCTCCTGTTATATAATACAGGTCAATTTACCTGTACCGAGCGGGTCTCCTCTAAGGCAGGTGTGATCCCTGCTCTCCTGTTATATAATACAGGTCAATTTACCTGTACCGAGCGGGTCTCCTCCATGGCAGGTGTGATCCCTGCTCTCCTGTTATATAATACAGGTCAATTTACCTGTACCGAGCGGGTCTCCTCTAAGGCAGGTGTGATCCCTGCTCTCCAGTAATACATGTACTACTTGGCCATGGCCAGGTGTCATTAACTAACTACTTAAGTCACCATGACACCTAAAATTAACTATTTTTGTGATTGTCTTCCTCAAATTAACTTTTATGATGGCCAGAAAAAAAGTATCTGCATGGATAATTTTATGATGGGAGATACATATGATCTGACACCGGCAATGAGTCTCTCACTTGATGTTGATATTATGAGAAAGGACAAGGAATTTGCTCTCTGTTTAATTCATATCTCACAGAGATCAATTCTTACTGCAAAGAAAAGTTTGCATGTTAAGGTATTTCATGTCACAGTATTGCATAAAAAAATGAAGTGTCATCTCATGTAAAATACATTGTTGACAGTCATGTTTACAACTCTCAATGTTGACAGTCATTGTTTACAACTCTCAATGTTGACAGTCAAGTTTACATCTCACACTGTTGACAGTCATTGTTTACAACTCTCAATGTTGACAGTCAAGTTTACATCTCACACTGTTGACAGTCATTGTTTACATCTCACACTGTTGACAGTCATTGTTTACATCTCACACTGTTGACAGTCATTGTTTACATCTCACACTGTTGACAGTCATTGTTTACATCTCACACTGTTGACAGTCATTGTTTACATCTCACACTGTTGACAATCATGTTTACATCTCACACTGTTGACAGTCATTGTTTACATCTCACACTGTTGACAGTCATTGTTTACATCTCAAACTGTTGACAGTCATTGTTTACATCTCACACTGTTGACAGTCATTGTTTACATCTCACACTGTTGACAGTCATTGTTTACATCTCACACTGTTGACAGTCATTGTTTACATCTCACACTGTTGACAGTCATTGTTTACATCTCACACTGTTGACAGTCATTGTTTACATCTCACACTGTTGACAATCATGTTTACATCTCACACTGTTGACAGTCATTGTTTACATCTCACACTGTTGACAGTCATTGTTTACATCTCAAACTGTTGACAGTCATTGTTTACATCTCACACTGTTGACAGTCATTGTTTACATCTCACACTGTTAACAGTCATTGTTTACATCTCACACTGTTGACAGTCATTGTTTACATCTCACACATGTCACAGTATTGCATAATAAACTGAAGTGTCATCTCATGTAAAATACATTGTTGACAGTCATGTTTACAACTCTCAATGTTGACAGTCAAGTTTACATCTCACACTGTAGACAGTCATTGTTTACATCTCACACTGTTAACAGTCATTGTTTACATCTCACAATGTTGACAGTCATTGTTTACATCTCACACTGTTGACAATCATGTTTACATCTCACACTGTTGACAGTCATTGTTTACATCTCACACTGTTGACAGTCATTGTTTACATCTCACACTGTTGACAGTCATTGATTACATCTCACACTGTTGACAGTCATTGTTTACATCTCACACTGTTGACAGTCATTGATTACATCTCACACTGTTGACAGTCATTGTTTACATCTCACACTGTTGAAAGTCATTGTTTACATCTCACACTGTTGACAGTCATTGTTTACATCTCAAACTGTTGACAGTCATTGTTTACATCTCACACTGTTGACAGTCATTGTTTACATCTCACACTGTTGACAGTCATTGTTTACATCTCACACTGTTGACAGTCATTGTTTACATCTCACACTGTTGACATTGTTTACATCTCACACTGTTGACAGTCATTGTTTACATCTCACACTGTTGACAGTCATTGTTTACATCTCACACTGTTGACAGTCATTGTTTACATCTCACACTGTTGAAAGTCATTGTTTACATCTCACACTGTTGACAGTCATTGTTTACATCTCAAACTGTTGACAGTCATTGTTTACATCTCACACTGTTGACAGTCATTGTTTACATCTCACACTGTTGACAATCATGTTTACATCTCACACTGTTGACAGTCATTGTTTACATCTCACACTGTTGACAATCATGTTTACATCTCACACTGTTGACAGTCATTGTTTACATCTCACACTGTTGACAATCATGTTTACATCTCACACTGTAGACAGTCATTGTTTACATCTCACACTGTTGGCAATCATGTTTACATCTCACACTGTAGACAGTCATTGTTTACATCTCACACTGTTGACAATCATTGTTTACATCTCACACTGTTGACAATCATGTTTACATCTCACACTGTAGACAGTAATGACATTTGCTATGATAGTTTTGCTGATTTCCAAGAATTAATGTGATAGGTGAAGCACAAAAAAAACAAACATTTCCTGTTATTGACTGAAGTTTCAATGAGTTAATACTTTCACATTGCTATCTAAAAATATGACATTTTTGACACATGATCAAGTTTCATCATGATAAGTAGGGTATTTCCAACATCAAAGAGGAAGATTTTTAAATGGAAAGAGCTCTCGAAAAGAAATATTTCTTTCAGTTGATTGCTCTGAACTATTGAACTTTCAAGTATCTCTTCAAATTTTCACATGTGATACCAGTTAGATCAGTCCATCTGTCTGTCAACAATTTGTTCAAGTTTTAGGCTAGTGTCTTTAAAGGTCTACTGTTCAGTTTGTAATTAAATTGTTTTCAAAGTTAAATCACTCTTCACCAGTAGTCCAGCTGTCCATGAGCAGTTTCATATATAGGTTCCCCTTGGTCCCTAGTGCCAGTTTGATATAGAGACTGATCAGGGTTTTAACTTTGTTGTGAAAATAAGTTATTTGACAAAAACTTCCTTCTTGATGATTTTTTCTTGTTTTTGATATTGAAACTATTTCAATATGTATGAACTTCCTAAAACTACTAAGGATATGAACTGAAAGGTAAGCATTAGATAGGGCCTGTTAGAAATTGGTTAAGAATTTAACTTTGATGGTTCCTTCCAACTTCAGATATCAAAATCTTCTGTTTGTGATATACAGGTGTATCATGTGTCCATTCATGGTGCTCTAATTAAATCTGCATTGGCGATTAAAAGAGTGTATAGTGATTACTTGTACGCCCTAGATTTGTCAGTATCCCTACAGGTAAATAATAAGTCTTGGTATACATTAATATTCATTGTCTGAGACAGATTGAATTTTTTACAGTATTTTATGTCCCTGTTTATGTTGGATATAATATTATCCATGTCCCTTCCACTGTGATAAAAAGTCCCTGTTCCCGTCATTGTCCCATTCAATCCCGGTCATCCCCTTCAGTCTTGCCCTGTCCCCCTCCCTGCACAGTTTTGTCTCATCCAGTTCCTTCTCGAGTCACTGTCATCATTCTAGTAGCTTCATTTGAACAGGGATTTTGATAGAACGTTATACTTAGGTAAAATACAGCAAGACTTTGAATAAGTTCTAGCTTTTGGGTTCTAAATAAAAGATGAAGATGAAGGTCACAGTTACTGTTCATAAAGTGTAGATCATATATGTCTCAACAACATTTTATAGCCTTGCAATATGATTTACAGTTTACCAACGAACATTTCCATAACTTTTTATGAGCTAGAGAAATATGATACTGCAATGATTTGAATGATATTGTGTTTGTGAAACATATGTCTGATAACAGATAAAATATTCTAAAACTAGGGCAAAATATAAACAAAAGAAAGGTTTGCAAGGACATTCCTGACAAAGTACATTGAGAATAAGACCAGATGTACAGGAAGAGTAAGTGTCTTGCTTGATCAATGGCCTGCCATGTAAAACCTTGGTCAGTCCAAGTAAGTGATGTCATTTTCTCAAATTAGAACAAGTTATACAACAATTGAACCAACAGGCTAACTAACAGCATCAAACACGCCCAGCTTCATATCATCTTGTGAACCCTTGTGTTACAAGTTGTTTGTCAGTTGACTACTTCTTGCATGAAAATTGTGATTATGGGAATAGGCCCTTGAATATCAAATCAACTATGACATTCCAAAGGTCACCAGAAGCAGCATTAGCTAAATCCACAGTTTTCATAGCACACAGAGAGGAAGCAAATATAACATAGTTCTAACATGATTGACACCTAGTGGTATCTGTAAAGTGTCCATTAGATTTTCAAACATGATGGTATATCCTCTAGATTTATTGTATTACCTGTCCATGACTATGATTACATCTAGTTTGAGGTGTAAATAAAACCATAATGTTAGTGTTACTTTAACCAGGACTGGACAAATTTTCTACATAGTCCACACTGTCATTGCAGACATATGGTGCAGCTGTGCCTAGCAGTATTGCTCACATTGTCTTTGGTAGGGTGTAACCATGTTATCATACACATCATTAGCACTTTACAAATACTTTTCATTAAATAAAGGATGTTTTCTGTCCACAGGCTATTGGGGTGTTCATCATGGTGAGAGACTTGTCTCTATGTCTGATGCATGAGGAGGAAACACAGCTGCCTCTCACCAAAGAAAAAGCCTGTGTCAAGGTGTCCGAAATACTGGACTTAAGTAAGTGTTCAACCCATGTTTTCACCAATTGTATGAAATACCAGATAGCAGTTATTGACCTGTCCAGGATGTTTGACACAATTTTTGATCAGCTAGATATATTAAATTATTCAGCCTTCCTCTCAGAGGCACATTTCAGTCTGTCCGATCATCCGAGATAAAGAACCTAAATCCAAAACTATGAAATAACTGAATTCTCAAGATCCTCAGATATGATAGAATCAAATACTCATCATGGAATGGTCTTGTGAGTTTCCTGGCCACATGGTCTTACATTTCCCAGCTTGTGAGTGGGTAATTTGTACTAAAGTTGATATAGGAAGAGACAATTCAGACTTGGTTTGAATTATTGATATGGGATGGCAGTTTGATGGTATGCTGTGCTTCTTTAACATGTTTCAACAACAAATACAACAGTTTTTATACATCTTTCTTGGTCAAGGCCCTAGAACTTCTTGTCTTCAAAGTGTAAAAAAAGTGAATGACATCTTGCTATTGGGGTAAACTTTCTTGCCCAAGGACATTACTGTGACAGTATAGACCTCTCGGCTCCTCATGTTTTTTTATGATTACAAACCACCAGAGGTAGGGAACATCAAACCATGTACCTCTTTTATTCATATGAGATAGCGTAGGCAAACACTTCACCAACTAAGCAGCCCCATGTGAGAAAGATGGAGGGGTCTGGTTATGATGACTACTCCTTCTGTACAGTGTTAGTTTGGGCAAGGGGTATCCATTTAATGGCCTATACCTTTACTTAAGTATAAGGAGGATAGGCATATTTCTTCCATGACTTACTTCAGTATGATAGCAAAAGAGATAGAGGTGTAAGAGGAGGATAGGGGTTAGCAGTGTTAGCAGACTGGGTAAGGGTATCAATTTAATGGGCTTCAATATTACAGTGTTAGCAAAGGGGTTAAGGGTATCAAATTAATGGTCTCCTGCAGCACAGTTTTAGCAGAGGGGATAGGGGTATGGATTTAAGGACCTTCTCCTTCATTATTGTGTTAAGTGATTTATTATTGATATTGTTTTAATGGACGGTGATTATCAGCAGTTCAGTGTTAGGGTGATTGGGATGTTAGTTTAATGGCCTGCACATTCAGTCAAGTGTAAAGGTGATTGGGATGTTGATTTAATGGCCTACTTAATCAGTCTAGTGTAAGGGTGATTGGGATGTTGATTTAATGGGCTGTACATTCAGTCTAGTGTAAGGGTGATTGGGATGTTCGTTTAATGGCCTGTACATTCAGTCCAGTGTAAGGGTGATTGGGATGTTGATTTAATGGCCTGTACATTCAGTCTAGTGTAAGGGTGATTGGGATTGTTGATTTAATGGCCTGTACATTCAGTCCAGTGTAAGGGTGATTGGGATGTTGATTTAATGGCCTGTACATTCAGTCCAGTGTATAGGTGATTGGGATTGTTGATTTAATGGCCTGTACATTCAGTCTAGTGTAAGGGTGATTGGGATGTTGATTTAATGGCCTGTACATTCAGTCTAGTGTAAGGGTGATTGGGATGTTGATTTAATGGCCTGTACATTCAGTCTAGTGTAAGGGTGATTGGGATTGTTGATTTAATGGCCTGTACATTCAGTCCAGTGTAAGGGTGATTGGGATGTTGATTTAATGGCCTGTACATTCAGTCCAGTGTATAGGTGATTGGGATTGTTGATTTAATGGCCTGTACATTCAGTCTAGTGTAAGGGTGATTGGGATGTTGATTTAATGGCCTGTACATTCAGTCCAGTGTAAGAGTGATTGGGATGTTGATTTAATGGCCTGTACATTCAGTCTAGTGTAAGGGTGATTGGGATGTTGATTTAATGGCCTGTACATTCAGTCTAGTGTAAGGGTGATTGGGATGTTGATTTAATGGCCTACTTAATCAGTCTAGTGAAAGGGTGATTGGGATGTTGATTTAATGGCCTGTACATTCAGTCTAGTGTAAGGGTGATTGGGATGTTGATTTAATGGCCTCCTTAATCAGTCTAGTGTAAGGGTGATTGGGATGTTGATTTAATGGCCTGTACATTCAGTCTAGTGTAAGGGTGATTGGGATGTTGATTTAATGGCCTGCTCATGCTTATTGATTTCATGATTTCATGGAAGGAGAGGTGGGGATGGAGGGTAGGGGGTGGTAGTGGTATTGATTTTATTATTTCATGGAAGGAGAGGTTGGGATGGGTGGGGTGGGGTAGGGGGTGGTAGTGGTATTGATTTCATGGCCTACTTCTTCAGGACAATGTAAATTTACATTTCATTGCTCTATCATGGTTGTATATATACCTAATAGGTATTAAGGAAATTAATCAAACAGGCTGTTTTTGATAGTTTGATTTTGAAAAACATTATATTAATATATTACAATAGAAATCTTTCATTTTTGGCAGTAATTGGTAAAATCTGGAGAGAACTATATCATCATTTTACATGTTCTATTTTTAGAGTCCAAGGAAATCCATTCTATTTATAACCTTCCTTGTATGAGGTTTCTGTGCCATTCTGTACATGTGATTTGGTACTTAACCAGGCGTAGTAGGGAAGAATACTATTATCATAGACATCTGCTTGGTATTTAAATGCTTAGCATGAGATCAGCTGATTACTTACTGTAAAACATGTAGAATTCTTTGAACTTAAATAATTTTGTTATCAATTATAAACCAACAGAGTTATTACGTAAATTTACATTGATATGAAAGACACGTTTGATCCAGGCGTATATATAAAGCAAATTAAAGATTCTTTTATCTTGATCAACTTGAAAGGTCTCCTGTCCAATCAATATACCACCAGTTTAACATCGAAGAGACCCAATACACTATAATATGCTGATTTTAATAACATGGACTTGCTATATAAAGGTGATATCCTTTTCTTACCAGTTGCTTCTTTGCATGAGTTAAACTTAATACTAATTCCCACAAACAAAGCCTAAGTTATCTGATAATTTTGGTAAATCTACCCTCATAATCACAGGGGTCAATGTATCAAAGGTTCAAATGACAGCACTGAATTAAAAACATGACCATTAATGAGTTCAGATCAATGTGGTTGGATGCTGTCAGCTTTGTTTAAACATATCATCATTAATTGCCTTTAAGGTTATGGTCAGGTAAAGTTTTAACAGGACTTAACAGGTAGTCTGGTAAAATTTTAACAGGGCTTAACATGTGGTCTGGTAAAGTTTTAACAGGGCTTAACAGATGGTCAGGTAAAGTTTTTACTGGACTTAACAGGTGGTCTGGTAAAATTTTAACAGGGCTTAACATGTGGTCTGGTAAAGTTTTAACAGAGCTTAACAGATGGTCAGGTTAAGGTTTGCTGGACTTAACAGATGGTCTGGTAAAATTTTAAAAGGGTTTAACATGTGGTCTGGTAAAGTTTTAACAGGGCTTAACAGATGGTCTGGTAAAGTTTTAATAGGGCTTAACAGGTGGTCTGGTAAAGTTTTAACAGGGCTTAACGGATGGTCTGGTAATTTTTTAACAGAGCTTAACAGATGGTCTGGAAAAGCTTTAATAGGACTTAACAGATTGTCTGGTAAAGTTTTAACAGGACTTAACAGGGCTTAACAGGTGGTCTGGTAAAGTTTTAACAGAGCTTAACAGGTGGTCTGGTAAAGTTTTAACAGGACTTAACAGGTGGTCTGGTAAAGTTTTAACAGAGCTTAACAGATGGTCAGGTAAAGGTTAATGGACTTAACAGATGGTCTGGTAAAATTTTAAAAGGGTTTAACATGTGGTCTGGTAAAGTTTTAACAGGGCTTAACAGATGGTCTGGTAAAGTTTTAATAGGGCTTAACAGGTGGTCTGGTAAAGTTTTAACAGAGCTTAACAGGTGGTCTGGTAAAGTTTTAACAGGACTTAACAGGTGGTCTGGTAAAGTTTTAACAGGACTTAACAGGTGGTCTGGTAAAGTTTTAACAGAGCTTAACAGGTGGTCTGGTAAAGTTTTAACAGAGCTTAACAGGTGGTCTGGTAAACTTAATAACGCTAGTCACACTATCTGATCAATAATAAAGGATGAGTCTAACTTTCTGGATGTAATCACCTTGAGTACTGAGAGTTGCAAAATTTGGTCTAGCCCTTTTTCATGGTGATTATAGTCATATTGCTTTGAGCATCTACTGTGTAACATATGCACAGATATAGTACTGTTGGTCATAAAGATCCAGGTGAGCGATACAGGCCCTCTGGGCCTCTTGTAAAAATCACGATAGCTTGTATCTAACAGTTGTGAGAGATAATACGATTTGTACAAATGTGGAAAAAAAAATTCTCAGTTTATAAAGCACAAAAGGTGTCCAGGATTCACCTTTCATCAATTAAAATATAAAGATTTGATATTGTCTAACATTTGCTATGGTGGAAATGATGTGTTAACTTTAAGCTCATCTGGCTTGTCCATCCATTTCAAAATCATTACTTGTCATGAACGACAGAGTGGATTTTTGCCAACTTTTGTCCGAAGCATCCTTGAGTGAAGATGAATCTGGTATAAATGGTGTGTCTTTTCCCCCTAGAGTGGGATGGGAAGGGCCCCATGGGGTAAATAAAGAAATCCTTTAAAATCCTACTCATCCTGTAGGAATAATTGGGATTTTGCCAAAATTTGGTCTGAAGGTGTAACAGAATCAATTTTTATAAACAGTGGGTTTCTGACCTTGTAACATGCAGTGGCAGGACCCAATGCAGCAGATAGAGCAAATTCTTTAAAATCTTACCCCTCCTGTAGGAATAGTCATATTTTGCCAAAATTTGATCTGAAGTATCCTTGGGTGAAAAGGAATCTATATTGTATGAATGATAAATCTCAGCCACTTGTGGTTATGAGGGAGAATGGGCAATAAAGGAAATAATCCAAAATCTTCAAAATCCTAAATCCTACTTCTCCTGTAGGTAATATTGAATTTTGCCCAGATTTGATCTGAAGCATCCTTGGGTGAAAATCAGTTTTGTAGAAACAGTGGGTTTTGTTATCTGGGGTGGGAAGGCACAATAGCAGACATAGAGCAAATTCTTTAAAATCCTTCTTATGTTGAAATGATTTAATCTTGTCTTAATTTGATATGAATCATCTGTACATGAAAAGAACATAGTTCTGTATAAATGATGAATCTGATCCCCCAGAGAGGCGTGGTCCAATAGGGAAGAAAGATGAAAATATTTCAAATATTTATTCTTTACATCAAATGAAGCAATTTCAGAAAACTGTACGAGGAGAGTGATACAGGCCATATGGGCCTCATGTTTGATTATGTTTGCAAATGCTAAATGTGTTAAGAAATGACAAATAGAAAGTACAATGAAGGATAGGTGAACAATCAAACTGTATGTGTATGCTTTTAATCATTATTGTTTTTGTTACAGATAACAGTGACCTGATTGCCTGTACTATCGTGACGAAGGAAAGGTATGTCCTTCATGTTTCTGTATCAGTAATTATGGGTCTTCTGCAGAACAAATGTCATCTTTTACCTGCTTCTTCACACTGGTCATTGTCAGATATCTCCACAGCAATCATTGTCATATTGCTGCACAGTGATCTGTGTCATATTTCTCCACAGTGATCTGTGTCATATTGCTGTACAGTGATCTGTGTCATATTGCTGTACAGTGATCTGTGTCAGATTTCTCCACAGTGATCTGTGTCATATTGCTGTACAGTGATCTGTGTCATATTTCTCAACAGTGATCTGTGTCATATTGCTGTACAGTGATCTGTGTCAGATTTCTCAACAGTGATCTATGTCATATTGCTGTACAGTGATCTGTGTCAGCTATCTCCACAGCAATCATTGTCATATTGCTGCACAGTGATCTGTGTCATATTTCTCCACAGTGATCTGTGTCATATTGCTGCACAGTGATCTGTGTCAGATTTCTCCACAGTGATCTGTGTCATATTTCTCCACAGTGATCTGTGTCATATTGCTGCACAGTGATCTGTGTCATATTGCTGCACAGTGATCTGTGTCATATTTCTCCACAGTGATCTGTGTTATATTGCTGCACAGTGATCTGTGTCATATTTCTCCACAGTGATCTGTGTCATATTGCTGTACAGTGATCTGTGTCAGCTATCTCCACAGCAATCATTGTCATATTGCTGCACAGTGATCTGTGTCAGATTTCTCCACAGTGATCTGTGTCATATTTCTCCACAGTGATCTGTGTCATATTGCTGCACAGTGATCTGTGTCAGCTATCTCCACAGCAATCATTGTCATATTGCTGCACAGTGATCTGTGTCATATTGCTGCACAGTGATCTGTGTCATATTTCTCCACAGTGATCTGTGTCATATTGCTGCACAGTAATCTGTGTCAGATTTCTCCACAGTGATCTGTGTCAGATTTCTCCACAGTGATCTGTGTCATATTTCTCCACAGTGATCTGTGTCATATTGCTGTACAGTGATCTGTGTCAGATTTCTCCACAGTGATCTGTGTCAGATGTCTCCACAGTGATCTGTGTCAGATGTCTCCACAGTGATCTGTGTCAGATTTCTCCTCAGTGATCCACAGTGATCTGTGTCAGATTTCTGCTCAGTGATCTGTGTCATATTGCTGCACAGTGATCTGTGTCAGCTATCTCCACAGCAATCATTGTCATATTGCTGCACAGTGATCTGTGTCATATTGCTGCACAGTGATCTGTGTCATATTTCTCCACAGTGATCTGTGTCATATTGCTGTACAGTGATCTGTATCAGATTTCTCCACAGTGATCTGTGTCATATTTCTCCACAGTGATCTGTGTCAGATTTCTCCACAGTGATCTGTGTCAGATGTCTCCACAGTGATCTGTGTCAGATGTCTCCACAGTGATCTGTGTCAGATTTCTCCTCAGTGATCCACAGTGATCTGTGTCAGATTTCTGCTCAGTGATCTGTGTCATATTGCTGCACAGTGATCTGTGTCAGCTATCTCCACAGCAATCATTGTCATATTGCTGCACAGTGATCTGTGTCATATTGCTGCACAGTGATCTGTGTCATATTTCTCCACAGTGATCTGTGTCATATTGCTGTACAGTGATCTGTATCAGATTTCTCCACAGTGATCTGTGTCATATTTCTCCACAGTGATCTGTGTCATATTTCTCCACAGTGATCTGTGTCAGATTTCTCCACAGTGATCTATGTCATATTTCTCCACAGTGATCTGTGTCATATTGCTGCACAGTGATCTGTGTCAGATTTCTCCTCAGTGATCAGAGTAAGACTTATCCACAGTGATCATGTGCAGACGTCTCCACAGAGATCAGTGTCTGAGATTTCTCCTCAGTGATCCACAGTGATCTGTGTCAGATTTCTCCTCAGTGATCCACAGTAATCTGTGTCAGATTTCTCCACAGTGATCTGTGTCAGATTTCTCCACAGTGATCTGTGTCAGATGTCTCCACAGTGATCTGTGTCAGATTTCTCCTCAGTGATCCACAGTGATCTGTGTCAGATTTCTGCTCAGTGATCTGTGTCATATTGCTGCACAGTGATCTGTGTCATATTTCTCCTCAGTGATCTGTGTCAGATGTCTCCACAGTGATCTGTGTCAGATTTCTCCTCAGTGATCCACAGTGATCTGTGTCAGATTTCTCCTCAGTGATCCACAGTAATCTGTGTCAGATTTCTCCACAGTGATCTGTGTCAGATTTCTCCACAGTGATCTGTGTCAGATTTCTCCACAGTGATCTGTGTCAGATGTCTCCACAGTGATCTGTGTCAGATTTCTCCTCAGTGATCCACAGTGATCTGTGTCAGATTTCTGCTCAGTGATCTGTGTCATATTGCTGCACAGTGATCTGTGTCAGCTATCTCCACAGCAATCATTGTCATATTGCTGCACAGTGATCTGTGTCATATTGCTGCACAGTGATCTGTGTCATATTTCTCCACAGTGATCTGTGTCATATTGCTGTACAGTGATCTGTATCAGATTTCTCCACAGTGACCTGTGTCATATTTCTCCACAGTGATCTGTGTCATATTTCTCCACAGTGATCTGTGTCAGATGTCTCCACAGTGATCTGTGTCAGATTTCTCCTCAGTGATCCACAGTGATCTGTGTCAGATTTCTCCTCAGTGATCCACAGTAATCTGTGTCAGATTTCTCCACAGTGATCTGTGTCAGATTTCTCCACAGTGATCTGTGTCAGATGTCTCCACAGTGATCTGTGTCAGATTTCTCCTCAGTGATCCACAGTGATCTGTGTCAGATTTCTGCTCAGTGATCTGTGTCATATTGCTGCACAGTGATCTGTGTCAGATTTCTGCTCAGTGATCCACAGTGATCTGTGTCAGATTTCTCCTCAGTGATCTGTGTCAGATTTCTCCACAGTGATCTGTGTCAGATGTCTCCACAGTGATCTGTGTCAGATTTCTCCTCAGTGATCCACAGTGATCTGTGTCAGATTTCTCCTCAGTGATCCACAGTGATCTGTGTCAGATTTCTGCTCAGTGATCCACAGTGATCTGTGTCAGATTTCTGCTCAGTGATCTGTGTCAGATGTCTCCACAGTGATCTGTGTCAGATTTCTGCTCAGTGATCTGTGTCAGATTTCTCCTCAGTGATCCACAGTGATCTGTGTCAGATTTCTCCTCAGTGACTCACAGTGATCTGTGTCAGATGTCTCCACAGTGATCTGTGTCAGATTTCTCCTCAGTGATCCACAGTGATCTGTGTCAGATTTCTGCTCAGTGATCTGTGTCAGATTTCTGCTCAGTGATCCACAGTGATCTGTGTCAGATTTCTCCTCAGTGATCCACAGTGATCTGTGTCAGATTTCTGCTCAGTGATCTGTGTCAGATTTCTGCTCAGTGATCTGTGTCAGATGTCTCCACAGTGATCTGTGTCAGATGTCTCCACAGTGATCTGTGTCAGATTTCTCCTCAGTGATCCACAGTGATCTGTGTCAGATTTCTCCTCAGTGATCCACAGTAATCTGTGTCAGATTTCTCCACAGTGAACTGTGGAAGAATTCTCCTCAGTGATCCACAGTGATCTGTGTCAGATTTCTGCTCAGTGATCCACAGTGATCTGTGTCAGATGTCTCCACAGTGATCTGTGTCAGATTTCTCCTCAGTGATCCACAGTGATCTGTGTCAGATTTCTGCTCAGTGATCTGTGTCATATTGCTGCACAGTGATCTGTGTCAGCTATCTCCACAGCAATCATTGTCATATTGCTGCACAGTGATCTGTGTCATATTGCTGCACAGTGATCTGTGTCATATTTCTCCACAGTGATCTGTGTCATATTGCTGTACAGTGATCTGTATCAGATTTCTCCACAGTGATCTGTGTCATATTTCTCCACAGTGATCTGTGTCATATTTCTCCACAGTGATCTGTGTCAGATTTCTCCACAGTGATCTATGTCATATTTCTCCACAGTGATCTGTGTCATATTGCTGCACAGTGATCTGTGTCAGATTTCTCCACAGTGATCTGTGTCAGATGTCTCCACAGTGATCTGTGTCAGATGTCTCCACAGTGATCTGTGTCAGATTTCTCCTCAGTGATCCACAGTGATCTGTGTCAGATTTCTCCTCAGTGATCCACAGTAATCTGTGTCAGATTTCTCCACAGTGATCTGTGTCAGATTTCTCCACAGTGATCTGTGTCAGATGTCTCCACAGTGATCTGTGTCAGATTTCTCCTCAGTGATCCACAGTGATCTGTGTCAGATTTCTGCTCAGTGATCTGTGTCATATTGCTGCACAGTGATCTGTGTCAGATTTCTGCTCAGTGATCCACAGTGATCTGTGTCAGATTTCTCCTCAGTGATCTGTGTCAGATTTCTCCACAGTGATCTGTGTCAGATGTCTCCACAGTGAACTGTGTCAGATTTCTCCTCAGTGATCCACAGTGATCTGTGTCAGATTTCTCCTCAGTGATCCACAGTGATCTGTGTCAGATTTCTGCTCAGTGATCCACAGTGATCTGTGTCAGATTTCTGCTCAGTGATCTGTGTCAGATGTCTCCACAGTGATCTGTGTCAGATTTCTGCTCAGTGATCTGTGTCAGATTTCTCCTCAGTGATCCACAGTGATCTGTGTCAGATTTCTCCTCAGTGACTCACAGTGATCTGTGTCAGATGTCTCCACAGTGATCTGTGTCAGATTTCTCCTCAGTGATCCACAGTGATCTGTGTCAGATTTCTGCTCAGTGATCTGTGTCAGATTTCTGCTCAGTGATCCACAGTGATCTGTGTCAGATTTCTCCTCAGTGATCCACAGTGATCTGTGTCAGATTTCTGCTCAGTGATCTGTGTCAGATTTCTGCTCAGTGATCTGTGTCAGATGTCTCCACAGTGATCTGTGTCAGATGTCTCCACAGTGATCTGTGTCAGATTTCTCCTCAGTGATCCACAGTGATCTGTGTCAGATTTCTCCTCAGTGATCCACAGTAAT